ATTCTAGTACTTTTTTTTTTTCCTCTTTTTCCTTTTCACTAAGGTGACTAATTTTTTTTTTTTTTTTTTGTCACTTGTCACTTAGCTACTTTAATCATACTTCTACTCTAGCCTAATTTAAAGGCAACTGAACCTACAAGGAAACCTATGAGGACTGAACCACCATCGAACCAAACGGGTACACTTCACACTCATATGAATTTGAGAAAATCATATATTGTGACAAGTGATGGGAGGCAAGATTTAAACTCTTAACCTCCCACCCCACCAAAATTTAAAGTCTTTGGTGGTGGCCAATAACCCAATTGGCTATTGGTTATATATGGAGGTTCAAGATGTAGGAATTGCATAAGTTGACAAGTAAATAGGGACAATTTTCTAGTTGAAAAACGTCCTATTTCTTATGAAGTACTCCCTTTGTTCCAAATTTATTGTCGTGTTTAAGAAATTGTGCTTTTTTTTTTCCAATAGTACCCAAATTTTGCTTTAGTTTCTCTATTTACCCTTCAATACACTGGTGATAAGAAATGATCAAGTCAAACAAAATTGATGTGCTTGTCAACAAGCTATCGAAGAGCCAGGAGTTTGTTGCACGTTCTATTGACACTAGAGTTAGTGCAATTCACACTCTAATATTGTGTACAAGACAAAGAAATATGTGGAGCTCAAGTTATTACCTTTGTCAATTCATACGCACATGAAACGCAAATATGTGCAAACACACTCCTTTTTTCCATCACATGTATCAAGCTAGTGCAATTCACACACGGATTCTTAACGAAAGTCAAAAGAAATTTGATAGGCCAGCAGCTAACATTAATTGAAGGATATGAATGAAAACTAGATGAAAAAGTGTTTGCCATATTTAAAAAGTGGCATATTTTGGAACAGATCAAAATAGAAAACATGACATTTTTATTGAGACGGAAGGAATATTTCTTTTATCTTGGTTTAGACTCGCTATTTTTGGTTACGATTGGGGGAGACGAGGAATACAACTGGTTTGTCAACTGAAGTTACTTTGTATAAGCTGCCAATGAAGGTAGATGCAGCCCGTAGAGTAACTAGTTTTTCCACTAGTATTTGGTGGAGCTATGATATTATGCCTGACTATGGTGATGGTATTAAACTTCAGTTGTTAATATTTAGAAGTTTTGAGTTTGATCTACCGAAATTTGCTGGTATAAGTTAATATCCCTATTAGTTAAGTTAGATTTTGAGAACTTTCATTCATTTATTTATTATTTTCTGTCTCTTAGTTGAACAAAATAATGTGCAGTTGTAGGTACAGTAATGATAAAAGTAAATTACATATAAGTCTTTTGTTTCAATTACTTTAACACGACATATCAACTTTTCATCTAGCCCTATGGATGAACAAAGTTTGAAGGTGGTCTTTGTTGGATGGTAGGGGAATCAAGAATTCAAGAATTCGAATGATAAATATACTTGTTGCTTGGCTAAGAGGAATGGTTAGTCATATCGGTTGGTCCAAGAGATATCTGCCATAGTTTTTTTTTATGCAGCAAGTTTTCCAAATGCTATAAAGGTCATACAGAAAATATATCTCAAATATAATATTAAAAAAAACCTGCCCCTCCCACACCCAAGAAAAGAAAAAGGGGGCACAAACATATCAACATCTTAGGGCAACAGAAGCAGCTGCACCCGTCATCACCCTTGTATCCAACAAGAGAAACAAGAAACCTGCAACCTCAGTCACCCAACTTCATGTGCTTACTTACCCCTCCAAGAATAGGAGATCACCAAGCCCCAAAGATCAAGAATAGGATATCTGCCATAGTTGCCGTTGGCCATGATGATTTATTGGGTTCGAAGAGTATTAAAAAAAGAATTTTTTTTAATATTTGATACCCATTCTCAAGAATTTTTACCAAGCACCAATTATTTGAATGATTTGCATGTTGTAAACCCATATTAATTTTTGATATATGAATCCCATTGCAATTCCAATTCCACAGTAAGAACCAAGCACCCCTGAATTGTTAAGTAGAAACTAAAAGCCACTTGTTCTGCACTTACTCCAATGCTAGGATGCATGATATGCTATTTGTGAAAATTTTCTTTCACCAGCAAGTTTATCATCATATAGCTTATCAAAACCTCTTATTATAACTAATCACATGCATCATAATTGATTTTCAACATTCGTCATCTGCTTCATCATTAGCCACGTTTCATGTTGAGCCCATATCATTATTCAAACCGCCAATATTGGAACCTATACTTTCATGATTGGCATTTCTATCAGCATCATTCATGTTGCTCTCACGGTTCGGATTCGCTGTACTTCCATCCAATACAATCATAGGAGCAACACTAGTTGATTTTACATATAAGATTGACAACTTTGATATATAGCAAGATATTGTTTTGAGTTTGGAGAATGGCACAAGACACACAAAAATTCTGCCAATTATGGATTCACAGATTACAAAATTAAAATTTTTCCCAAGATGCACAAAACTGGTTTTCCAAGATTCTGATAAACCTACAAAAGGGGTTCTCTGGAATGTTTTTAAGATTTGGAGAGTTCAGTATCACGTAATTAATTTGAGATTAATTTTCATAAGAAATGAGGCATAACTCAATTCTTTTCAAAGGAAAGAATGTAAATATAATAAAGGGTGCTACAATGTAATTATTGTGACTATAATATGCGGTGTCTGCAAAACTGCGGCAATGAATTCTAATGCCTGACTAGTAAAATGAATTGGTTCCAAATTTCATTTTTTTTTTATAAAACAAATTTCATTCCTTAAACATTTAATTTAATTGAAAAACTCTAACAAATTTGTTCAAAGTATCAAAATTTCTCTTTTCCTGTCTGGGCAAATTAAGATTTATTATGATTTAGTAGACCAAAGTACAATTTTTTAAATCATCTTCTCTTTTCCAAAGGAAAATGAAAAAGCAAAAGAAAAGGAAAAATGAAAAAAAGAAGTAGTGAAAAGATGAATTTGTCAATCTCTTAGTGTTTATTTGACTTTTTAATATTGATGATTTTAATGGAAAAATTAACTGTGATACTTTAGTTCAATATAAGGAATTATATATATATATATAAGTTTTTAAGCCTTAAAAGAGTTATATGGTAAAGCATCCAACTACATAAGAATAAAAGGTAATTTACCTTTTTCTTTTGTAATTTCATGTGAATTTGGTAAACAATAATATATTTGTTTAAAGCATACTAGCTTAATATCACGTATATCGCACGTGACATTGCCAATCTTGATAATATCTGTAATTGTTGCATTGAAATTTATTTATAAGGAAATAGGATCTTCTATAGAATTGTAGGCATCAAGATTGATAACAAAGAGATCACTAAAAATTGACATCATCATCAAGGATTCTCACTTTTCCAATAGCTTGCTAGAGATGCAAATTTTGGCCAGATGGGGAGATTTGAGCCTTTTTCTGCAACGTAAGTCTGCATAATAGAGGAGAAAGGAGGAGGAGAGGGCTGGGGGAAGAGGAGAGGAAGGGGAAGGGTTTGAAGAAGGAAGAAAAAAGGTTGTGTAGGAGAAGAGACGGTTGGGAAGGAGGAAAGGGTGGCGGGAGAAGTGATGGAGGGGAAGGGATCGAGAAGAAAGTGGTGTTGTAAGGGGCTAGGGTGGTGCTGCTGATATGGATCGTAGCATGGAGTTGGGTGGACATCTTTACTCCTTAAATTCTACACTAACAAGTCATTACCGGTTGGATTAGCGGCTAAATTCACTGGAATGGCCCAAAATACTCGTTTTAACGAGATGAATGACCTTTTGGAGAAAAAAACTTAGTGCACACTCCGTGCAATTTTAGATGGTTTAGTAATATTTTTTGTCAATTACTCTTTTATAAATAGTGATGATAAACAGTCGCACCTGGATGTAGAGGTAGACCCATGGGGTTAAGCACAAGATTTGCCTTCTGTGCTCTCCATTCATGTGAGTGATTGTAGAACCCAAATTTATGGTTCTAGTAATTAACACGTGTAGAATTAAAATTTGATGAGATAAATTAATCAGTCAAAATATATATGGAAGAGAAGAAATAAATAGTTCATGATATTATTGATATTTCAAATAATGTAAGAAGCATCACAATAAAACCTTGCAAAGGCTCTTAGACTTTCTTAAACTCTTAAAAGAATACTCCTTACTAGGACCTTAAGCATATACTACAATATTAGTTACCAAGACTTGTAAAATAAGAAACTATTTGATCAAGAATTACCAAATAAATCACAAACTCCTAAATAAGACAGGTACTAAAAACCTGATTCCAAATTAAACAATTAAATATTTTAATTAAAAGTTTTCTGGCTTGATTTATTTGCCAACAGTGATAATATTTACAAAGAGTCCCAAATTTGTAGTCCCTATCTTTCATGCAATACAGGCATTCAGGTTGGCCAGGTCTTTTTGGAAGTGCACGTTCCTTCTGGCTACTACCCGAAGGACCAGCAGCAGGCGGAATAGATAGATACTATCCTGTATATGCTAGAGCTGAAGGAGACAATCGAGTTATTCCAAAAACAGGGCCAGCTCCCACAGCAGCTGGTTGAGTACTTGCAGTGGCAGCAAGACTTGCACACAGGTGCCGGGCAACGAATTCCAAACTGCAACTGGAATTAACCACTTCTGCATGGAGGGATATGAAGTTTCCATACATTGTTCATAAAAGAAATCGTGAGATGACATTTTGGATGAACTTTAAAACGATTAACTTCAGGTGGAAGTGTAACAAAAAAAAAAAAGGACCTTCAAGATTTATTTTAGATGGTTTACTTGTTTGACATTGAATTTTTAGGTGTGTGAGTAGCTGAGGACGTTCGAGATTGAACTATCACTTTGTTACTTTAGCTATCTAAGCTGCAACTTTGGGGCATTCTCACTAATTTATTGCTTGTAAAACCAATATTTCTTCTTCAATAATTTGCATCCTTTGGCCTAACATTGATAAAGTTCTGACAAGAAAAAGAGAACTCTTACCTTTCATTATTGTCTGGATAATTTTATCACACAAGGCAATCTTCTTCTGTACAATGCTCAATTGAAGTAATAGTTCCTCTCGTCTCCTAAGAAGAGTTTGCAATGCATTCTGTGGCAACACATTTTCGTTTGACCTAGATGCATCCATCAGTTTCTCTAAGTAATTAGAACTTGATTGAGAAGACAGTGATGCACTATCTCCTTCTTGATCACCACCCTTGATATCTGAGGAGATCATGTTGGTTGTGTTTTCATCACTGATCATGTTTTCTTTACTTCCATTAGCAAACTTTATGGAGTCATCCATAACCACCTAGAAATCCAGTTAGACAAAATTCCAGCATAAGGAAGTAGGTGATAGTATTCAACAAGAGGGGTCACCATCCAACCACAGGAACTCATGACAATATCCATCAATCGACCATCGTCAAAATTACCTAACATTGATAATATTCTTATAGTCACATGATACTAGACTGAGAGTGTAAAACGTACCATAGACCACTCAATAATAAAACATCAAAACTAGAGCTGTCCCTTATGTGAGTACCATTCACAGCAGAGACAAAGAAACCTATATTTACTTGAATTTTGTTCCTTATTGAATCTTTAAGGGTAAAAGTCGAGGGAAACATTTCGTGGTGGAGCAATTTTGTGATGGAGAATTGTGCTTTTGTTATGACTCCAAAGGAACTCAAAAGTCTTTCTTATTGTGTCTACTGAGATGAACTCAAATGATTCTTACGCGTTTCTTTATAGATTTTCTTTCGTAATTTCAGGTGAATTTGGTAAACAGAAATATATTTTTTAAACTATACTAGTTTAATTTCACGTATGTCGCACGTGACATTGTCAATCTAGTTTAATACCACGTATGTTGCACGTGACATTGTCAATCTTTAATATATTCTGTAATTGTTGTTTTAAAAGTTAATCTTGATATTAAATTGCAAATGATTAAAATTAGTTACTCCTTCCATACTATTATTATTATCATGTTTCACCTTTTTACTATTCCAAAATTAGAGTCATGCTACAATATTTTCCTTCCAAACTTTCCATCCTTACCCTCATAGGTGTATGCCTTAGAAGGTACTAAAAATTTTAGTAAGATCCACTATTAAGTACCCATTTGGAAAATGCATTCTTGCAGTTCCCTTATGCAATAATTTGCACAACAAAGCCTCATACAAAACAAAAAAGTGGGTAACAAGGAGATATTGGTGTTCATTCCTAAGTCAAGTTGGACGCTTGTTTCCAACTTTGAAGATGGCCATGAGACAGTCAAATCTGTTTCCGTAAAAGATTCCAATATAAATGGCAACAACTGACAAGAAACTTCAAAATTTGGGCTGGGTTGTAGAATTTCTAAAGGTGAGGTGGGTATTTTCTTGTTATTATATTCAAAACCACCATGAAGCTATACCAGGTTTGCTGGATCAGTTGAACTAGGCATGGCTTATTGAAAATGGAAATGGTGGCCATGTAATGATTTATGTGAGCATCAGATTAATAGAGCTTCAATCTCCTAGACCTGATTGACCGAACATGATGACTGATGAGAAACAGCCTCCTAGAGCTAGGAATTGATTTGTATCAAAAATACATCACTGGGTCCATGAGAGTTATCCACAAAAAGATTGTAATTGCTTAGCTTCACTTTGCTCAGCTTGATGTGCGAGGCATCCTTACTGGATACCAAAATAAGTTCAAGCCTCAAGTCCAATGAGGAGTATGATGGAGCCAAAGTACCCATTGAAGGTTGTAGACACCAAAATTTCACTATTTTACTTTATTTTTCCTTCATTTTTATTCACTTTAGTTAAATTTTATTTATTTTAATTTTTTATTTCTTGAGAAAAAAAATCATTGTAGAAAAAACATATTTTTAGATGACTTGATACACCTTAACTCAATACTAAGTGGCGACTCCTATTTTTCCCTAAAAACCCTTTTTAGACTATTACTTTGAGCCAAAACCGTCGCACTTTTTAAGTCCCATTTTAGGCCATATTCTTTTGTTTATTCTCTAAAAATCAAAAACTCATTTTCAATCAAAAAATTCATTTTATAAACTCGCAATTTTATTTTTCAAAAAATGGGGCGCAACAAAGGTCCAACTGGGTAAGGAGCAACAGGCATATCAGGAAGAGAAGATGCAGATTGACTATAGCTTAGACTCCGCATTGGGTGATCAAACTTGCATACTCCATTTTGAAAATAGTGACAGCAAACAGCGACACCCCGAAGTAGATGTAGACCCTTGGGACCAAGGACAAGATTTGCCTTCTGTGCACTACATTCAGCCGGGTGATGACATCTACAAAAAGCCCCAGATTCACAGTTCTCTGTTTTCGTGCATATATATAATACTGGCATTCAGGTTGGCCAGGTCTCTCTGGAAATGCATGTTCCTTCTGGCTGCTTCCTGAAGGACTAGCAGCAGGCCGAATAAATAGATGCTGTCCTGTATATGGTGGAGTTGAAGTTGAAGGGGACAATTGTTGTGTTATTCCATAAACAGGGCCTGCTCACACAACAGCAGGTTTGCAAGTCCAACCCGGACCAGGAACCATTCCAGCACGGGGGATATGAAGTTTCCATACATTGCTTATAAAAGAAATCATGAGATACCCTTCAAGATGAACATTTAAATGATTAACTTCAGGGCGGAAGCGTTTAAAAAATGTGCAAAAAATCTGTCGAACCAAGTTTTAAAGTATTAATACTATGTTTATGCTTGTTTCATTTGGGAAAATTATTAGGTGTTTAAATAGTTTCTTATTTAAATAATGATTTTTTTTTAAAATTAAACGGAAGTTAGTGAACATTTCTAAGTGGTGCAATAAACGTGCTTTCAACCCAAAAAAAAAAAAAAAAAAAACTGAACACTAATTGAAAATCGTCTTGTTTAAAGTTCTCTTAGCGGTCAAGTTCAAGCCTTCTAAGTCAGCACTAATGTTGACGCATTCTCTTTTTTTCCTTTCATATTAAGATTTCGACTTTACTTTTTGTCAAAATAATTTTTTTCCCTCTCCTTTTCTAGAATAGACTAACCAAATAATTTTGAGACGATTTAATCCTATAATTATGGAGTTTCTTCAATTCTTTTCCTAAATGTAGATAATGCATGTTGAGTGTGTTTTATTAATATTTCGAATCACAAATTCTGTTTTATCTTAATTCTGTGGCCATCTTTTGCATTACCATAAACTCATAGCCTCTCCTATTATCTTTATTCTTTTTGACCTTATGTTTCCCTATAATTTGTCAATCATCATTCTTTTCTTAATTAAATAGATTAATATTTATCTGTTATTCATCCTACTAATTTTGGTAGTTGATATGTTAAAACCAATCATATTTATCTGTTCCTTTTTTTTTTTGTATTTTCTGTTTAGAGTATATTATTGTGATACATGATAAAAAAAAAGTTAAATTGTTGTCAAAGGGGTAAGAGAAACTTGTGGGATGAAATGGATACTACAAAAAAGGCACAAAAACTAAAGGTGTCGAGATTTTTCTCAAATATATAAGAATCAGAAACTACATGTCTTGAAAAGTCAAATGAAGAAGCAATCAAAAGACAAATCAGAGGATTAATAAAGTTTAAAAAAGGAGCAGATGTATTAAAAAGGTAAATTAGTCCAAACAAAATAAGACAATTTTTTTTATCCATATACAGTCAATTAGTAACACGTGTTGTTATCAAGCCTTTAGTACCAGTCGAGCAGTAAGGAACAATTCGAGAAAGGAAAGATCAACGCATATTTAACGAATGACAAATCGAGGTGTCTGATATGTCAACTAATGAAAATAAAAAAGAAAGAAAGAATTGTGAAGTAATGCAATCAAATATGAGCATGGATTAGCAATACTAAGAATTTCAAGCTTAGTTTGATATGGATAAAACTTAAAATGTATATGTAAGAAATTTGAGTTACTAAAATTTGAATTGCTAAAAGCACTAGGCTTGAAAATCAACAAATCAAATGATTTTTTATGTTTTTTTTATTGTTTTCCTTTCCTAATTCCATGTGAATTTATTAAAACATTTACTAGTAACAAGCAACTATACTCTTCTAAAGTATACTAGTTTTGAGAGCACGTGTGTCGCACGTGACATTACTAATGTATAATATTATTTGTGATTGTTGTTTTGAGAAATAATCATGCTATTGATTTACCAAGAACGTATACATCATGTAATAAGAATTATTTTTAAAATTCATTTTATTATAATCAATAATATACAACTTATAGATTACATTAATAGTGTGCTAAAAGAAAGAGTGGCAATTTATATTCCAGAAGTTAAAACCTTGACATCTATACACACATATATACATATGTACATATGTACATACACACACATACACATACATGTGCCTGTGGAAAATCTTTCAAAGCAAATGGAACAATGCCATGAAAGCAACTTCAAATGAATCTAGTTGTAGAAATTACAAAAGATTTTAAAGACAAAACGAATTGAAAAAAAATTATCTGCACCTGAAATTTGAAAGTATTGCTCAAAATAAATCAAGAAATGTCATTTTAGATGGCTTTAAAAAAAAATGAGCCTCACGCCATACATCTTGAAGCTCAATCTAAATTCAAAATCAACCTCACGCCATACTAAGCAGCATTTAGAATTAATTCTAGTCAAAATGGACTATTTTCTTCTTATACTATTGCAAAAATGACTAAAAGTAATATAAAATGTCATCCAAATATAGCACAAAATAGTCACTTACCAATCTTGAAACTCAATCTAAATTCAAAATCGAGGATTTGGGACACTTTTGTCTAACCCCTCAAATCCATGCCCTAATCCCATCTATAGATTGCAATAATAATACTCCCATTCATGACAGACCCTTCCTTCTAGTGCAAATTACGAAGTTAACAATTCTTCAACAATATGAAGGCCCATCATCAACAGCTCTAAAATGACAATACTTGGACTTTTATACCCATCATCAACATTGAGGGGCTTACTGCCATTTTTTCGTAAAAATCTTACTACTCAAATTTTGTATCAAGAGCAATGAAATTTTTGTATATATTGTGGGAGATGGTATTGGTGTTCCTCAAAAAGTCGAAGGGGCTCCACAACATGCTTTTCTCCTATGAAGCAATTGTTTATCTTGAAGCAGCGAAGTCAGAGTGAAATAAGCAAAGGGTAAAGGGAAATTTTGTTATAAAAAGTAAAAAAAAAATAAAAATTCAACTGAAGCACCTTAAGTTTTTCTAGGAGCGCAGATATCATCTGCCTATAATATTGTTGTGAAATAAGGTTTTTAAGTTTCAAAAAGTTTTTCTCTATGAGAGTGCAATTTTTTTGCACGATTTTGTAATATCTAGTGGAGCTAGGCTAAGCCAATAGTGAAAAGCTATGGATCATAATACAATTTAACAAAAAAACATGTGCTTGAACTTGTTAATACTAATATATGCATGTCCTAAAAGTCTCCTACTTATAGATTTTTTTTGTACTAGCAGTAATAAAAGTATGTCACATATGCATGATTTCAATTTTAATTTTACATTCGTGTTATATGTTATGATCTAAACCTACTAGTATGAAAAAAAAATTACATTGATGGTATATAAAAAATTTACTCTAATAATATTGGCATTTCTTTTTATGTCAATGAATGCTATGTACTATCAAAAAAAATATTGAAACATTTAATACTTAACATGAAGACATATTTGCTTTTTAATTAGCGATAGCTTAACAAAATTCCCAGCCTACTTAGTCAAAATTTCAATTTTAAGTGTATGAACAATCCATTTTAAATATTTAATCACCATTTTGTCCCCGCGCCGCCGCCAACATAACAAAGAAAAAGAAGTAAGACTTACACGGGAAAATTGTGACTATATAATGGCATATCGATGACTTTTGATCAAACAAATAGTGGAAAAGCTGCTGATAATTAATATTACAATGAGCAACAATGTGCTTGAATCTATCAGGGTCCTCAGGAAAACGGGTGATTTTGTTGGGATTCAAGCGCAAAATAAACACCTATTAAAAAATTAAAAATTTAATAATTTAATAAAAATTTAGCCAAAACATGAAAACATAAGTCACACGAGATTTATTTATGGCAATTCAACTCAATTACCAAACATATGTTTACAGAGAGAAAATCTATTTTTTATTATAAAGAGCAAATTTTCATTAAAAAAATACAACTGGAATCCACAATTAACCCTTATAGAACCTCTCCCGCCTTAGAAAAGCCCTTTCTCACCCATATATAAAGCTCTATTACTCTCCTGCATGTGCCATTGAAGAATGATAGGCCCCCAGACGTGTACAGGATCCAGTGCTACCTCGTCCTTGTGAAGAGGGATTAGCCCAAAATCGGCAATGGCCCAAAAAACTGATTTGAAACAATCCAGGGTTGCATTCTTTTAAGTTATGAAAAGAATGATGAACCCAATGCTAATGGCCCAGTCAAACAACACAGTAATTTAGATATAGCCTGCTTGATTAAGGAGTTGTGGATGGAGGGTTCTGGAATTGGTTGAATAGTTGGGCTTGGCAGGATAAAATAATGTTAACACTTCTAAAAAAATTTTAGATGCTTCTTAAATTTCATCTAATGTAAATAAAGGGAGAAAGTGTTTGAAGTTTTTTCTGAGACGTGCTAATATCATTTCTCCTTGGCAGAAAGGGAAATAATATTTTATAGGGTTAATTACATTTAATTAATCCATGAGGTTAGGCCAAACTACCAAATTTACCTCGAGGTTTAGCTAAATGACATTGACCTCCTTTGCTAGTACCACCATCTAAACTCCATCCATGGAGGTCATGAAATGACAAAAATACTCCTTTACTCGAAAGAGTCAAATTGAAATTCGATTTAAAATTGATATACAAAATTTTTTTCACGAATATGAAAACGACAAATATGTAAAATCCACGAAACTTTAAAGAAAGAAAAAAAATTCTAAATCCATATGAAAGGTCTATCAATAAAAGAAAACCAAATGTAAAAAAATGAAATCATCCAAACAAGTAAACAAATGTCCACAACATACATCCAGCTGAAATTGCAACTCATGAAATTGTAGAGAAAAGATCTAAAACACTAGGGATTCAGCTAAAGATGAGTGGGACAATTTCATATTGAAGATCTTTTGTTGGGTATTAAAATAGTAACATCTGACACATTGAAAATACTTATTTGATATTGGTTGAAGTATTTTCATTGCATTTGATGAAATGAAAAGGTTTCCAAGATGTGGTTATGGAGTCACAGTAGGCTTTATTTGAATATTATTTTGTTCCTATCTTGAAATTTTCAAGTTAAAACCTTGTTGCAGACAAATCCAAAGACAGGTGGAAGAATCAACAGGAATTCTAGAAAGTTGGATTGACTATAAAGAAGAAGAATTTGATGCCCAAAGTATGGTGGCCACATGTATTTTGCAGCAAGGCGGGTGTAGATTGATAGCTGGGGAAATGGAAGGATTGATGGGTATTTTTGAACTTTCATTGCATAAATA